ACAGAAATTTGGTCGGTTAGATATTTAAATTCGTCAAGTGCATCATTTATTTGTTGTTGTAGTCAAGACGCGAAAGAGTTTTGCCCTGTGAACTACTCAACTTTCGAGTGTCACTCTTCTCATTCTACTTTATACCCGCTATTCTGCCCTTTTTTACTTCATTACCCTAACAGTAGCAAATTCTACCTGAACGTTAGAACACTGAGTGCCGGTTAAGATGAGATATGAAGAGTAAGGACGAATGACGTAGACGTTCCTACAACGATACTTTTCAGTCCTTACAGTACCTATTTACGACATGTGATTGCTGAAGATAACCGTCTAGATATCAGGCTTATAAGATGCTTCCGATTGTTGAACATGAGCGTTCATTTAAAAGTATGATTAAAGGCATTTTATGATAGTATGTTTGGATTTCTTTGTCGATTATATTTTCTTACCACTGATATCTGTTTTCCTCATCTACTGACGTCAAATTAATCAAAATATGCGCTAAGACTTCCTCCATTATCTGTTATCTTTCTGGCAATTTTTTTTTTGAGAAGGCTTTGTTCAGTCTTTCACTGTATACCGCTACCGACTGTTAAAGCACTTAAAAACGCTCGCTTGGCATTGATTTTTTTCGCCTATGTCAACGGAGTCAATTCAAGCCGATTAATCTAAGCAATAGGGAAAAATTAGTTTTTCTTTCAGCAGTAAACAAGCGCTTTAAGATTTGGTTATATGTCGGACTGCAAACGTAACAGTGGTTTTCCTTTAGTGATATAGACTGAACTGGGGCTAATCGCAATAGCTCATTTATTTCTGCTTTTGGAATGACAGCCGATAGAACAAATAACGACCATATTGTTTTATTTTATTGTACATTTATTTTACTGAACGTTTCACTTTGGTTCATCGGTTAGGATTTGACATACGAAACACTGAGTGTTAGGAAGATTTCAAGTTTATTTCATCTTTCCAGAAACCGTCAGTTATTCTCAGGCTCTTACACCTAAGGATTTGGCACATTAAGGAAGCAGAGAAAAAGACAATGATCAAAACACCAGTAGTCAGAATATGTTATGGTTGCTAAACTGAAGAAAAAGTTTTTGTTTTACAAATTGAGCTAAATTTTTTAACTGGTCGTTGTTCTCTTTCTCAGTTTTTGAAACAAATTTCATAAATTTAACGTGAAATGTGACTATTACTCATCTCCACCATCTCATTAGCGCTTTACTTCACCTT